AATCTGGAAGCAATACTGAAATACAATCAGGTGAATTTTTAATTTTAATCAATTTTATAACTACCATTTTATTTTAAATTATTATATTATTATATTATATTTGATAATAATATGCTATTTTTACTGTTTAAAAGTAGAAATTTGTCGATGAAAATGGAGAAATTAGTACGCAAAGTAGAAGTTATGAATTTAGAAGTAATATTAAAATACAATCAGGTAAGTTTTTAGTAAATTAATAGGAAAGAAACCATTATTGTGTACTACAAGCAGTTATAAAAGAGATGTGCGTTTTGTCATATTTTATAAGAACACGTGTTTCATTATAAGTAACACTAAAGTAATTATAAAAGTGTACGCTTATTACAAAATTGCAAACAAAACTTCCTCGCCACTTGGAAACTGTGCATTGCAATGAACCTGAAGTTAAAACATTCGCTACGTTACCTAAAGGCAATCCGGAAAGGAAGAAAATAATAGACACTCTTCGAAAAAATGGTAATTTCAAACACAATTTAAACTCAGAAATAAACAATGGAAAACTCATTGTATGTAGGCGTCCTAACGAAAAATATAATAAAAATGCTTTAGGAATAGGGAATAATGTAGGAAAGAAAGAGAGAGAAATAGCTTTTCTCTCTTTCTCTTCTATGTTATTTCCTGTTCCTATTGCCTGTGCTTTTCATTGTGTTTCAGGCTTTACAATATCATATTTAAAAAATCTTGAGAGAACAAGACTTAGGGCCTCAGACTGAAGGCCCTTACCAGATTTGCTGACTTTTAATTTCAAGACAATGTTTTATATTTTATCTGTTAGTAGTCATACAGTAAAATTGTTACCTTTATGTGTTTATTTCTTGCATACATACACATGTATTCTTTGCAATCATTGGTTTGTACACATTTAAAACTTAAGATATAGCAATATTGTGCGTTAGCTAAGATAAAGAGTATAAAACATCATCTTGAAAGTTTGAATAACGGGTTACCAGTCAGCCATTCTACTAAAGTCCTTTATCAATTTTTTTTTTAGATAATGTTAATAATAGTTCAAAAAGTTACGAATCAGAATATTTGCCATCTGATGAAGAATCTGATAAAGAATCCGATGAAAAAGATGAAGAATCCGATTAAAAAATTGAAAATGATAGTCCATGTTCATTGAAACGTAACAAATTACAGAAAGAGAAATCAATTTTATGTACATCAGCGTCTCCAATATCAAATCCAAATATTTCGGCAGAAAATAATACATTTGGATGTAATGATGAAAATATGTCTGTGGACCAATGTAACCAAAAGTCAAAACAAAATTACTGTTACTTCTGTTCAAAATTGCAAACACAACTTCCTCGCCACTTGGAAACTGTGCATTGCAATGAACCTGAAGTTAAAAAATTTGCTACGTTATCTAAAGGCAATCCGGAAAGGAAGAAAATAATACGCACTCTTCAAAAAAATGGTAATTTCAAACACAATTTAAACTCAGAAGTAAACAATGGAAAACTCATTGTTAATACCTTGTGAGCGGTATTATATATTTCCTAGTTAATAGGCTTAATAATCACTGTTTTTTCCTTGTAAGTTTTATTGCGATGTGTTCATAGTACAGGATAAAAAATAATAACGTAACTGTATTATATCTTAACGCCACGTGTGTCAACCAGGCGTTTTTTCTTCGACCTTGCGTGTGGTGTATCCCCTCCACACACACCAATCTCTTTTGTGGCGACACCATTCGGGCCAAAAATGCATAAACAAACAGCGCGCGCAGTACAAATAAAAATAATACACATGCCTTGAATATAATTGAATACGCGCATAACTATGTGAAATAAAGTAAGGTAAATTATCAATATTGCATCAAACAAATACACTTATTAAAATTAGAATGCATAATAACACTAAACAATACCGCCGGCCTTGAAAGATCGTGCTTTCAAAGTTAATCTATTCGTGGATGGGCAAAACACAAATCTTATTTAATGGACGCTGATACGTGCCGGAGCTAGTTCGTACGTCTACTACTCTGATTAAACCATCCTTGCCAGGATGCACCTTTACCACTCGGCCTAAACGCCAACTCATAGGCGGAATGTTTTGCTCACGCAGGACTACCATAGTACCGTTGCTTATCGGCTCATGACGTCTTTTCCATTTATGTCTCTGCTGCATTTGCGTTAGATATTCAATCGACCAACGCTTCCAGAAGCTTTGTCTCATTTGCTCCATGAGTTGATATCGATTGAGACGGTTCACCTTGATATCCGCAACGTCGGGTTCGCAGATCGCGACTAGTGGACGACCAATCAGGAAATGGCCTGGGGTCAAGGCTTCAAGATCATCAGGATCCGCCGACATGGGTGTAAGCGGCCTTGAGTTTAATATAGCCTCTATTTGAGTAACCACGGTCGCCAATTCTTCGAAAGTTAGTGGGGTGGGTCCTACAATTTTTGTCAGTCGAATTTTTACCGGCTTGACCGCGGATTCCCATAGACCCCCCATGTGAGGCAACTGAGGCGGAAGGAAGTGCCATTTAATGGCTTGTTCTGTTAAAAAATCATGAATCTTAACGTCGCTTGCTTTAACTAACAAATACATTTCTTTTAGCGCCTTATTTGCTCCTACGAAATTAGTTCCATTGTCGGAATAAATGGACGTGCATTTACCGCGCCTAGCTATGAATCTTTTTAATGCATTCAAAAACGCAGATGCGGTTAAGTCGGATACAATTTCCAAGTGGACAGCCTTCGTGAGAAAACATACGAAAACGCACAGGTAAGCCTTACCCGTCTTGTTGCGACTAATCTTGATAGCAAAAAGCCCTGCATAGTCTACTCCGCTTTTGGAAAAGGGCGGCAAAGGCAAAACTCGTGATGCAGGTAAAGCGCCCATTAATTGCTCGGCAGGAGAAGCCCGAAACTTGCAACAGACTATGCATTTATGTAGTACCTTTCTAATAATATTTTTTCCTGATATGGGCCAATAGCGTGTACGTATTAAAACCAAAAGAAGTTGCACTCCTGCGTGCAAGTTTTTTAAATGTGTCTCCATTATGATCAAGTGTGTTAAGTGTTGTCCTTTAGGTAAAATTATCGGATGCCTTTGATCATAATCCAACTGAGCTTCTTGCAGTCGCCCTCCAACGCGAAGTAGTCCTCTGGTGTCTAAAAAAGGACGAAGTGATAGTAATTTGCTTTTCGAATGTAGCTCCTGTCCTTGGGACAGCTGACGTATTTCTTCAGGGTATTCTTCCCTTTGTGCTATGCCTAGTAAGGCGAGCATACTGTACTCGAGTTCTTCTACTAGTAGGGGCCCGATGTTATAGTCGTCTCTATTCTTTACCTTCTTCCTTGAGTTGCATATGAAACGCAAACAGTATGCAATTACGCGTCTGAGCTTGGCTAAAGATGAGAACTTGTTTATGATGCTTGCACCTTCTGTAGATGTTGCCATCAGCGCAATGGTTCGCTTTCTTATTTCAGGTAATTCTTCGCTCAATGGAAATGGTGCAGAGCTGTTTAGAATTTCATAATAGTCTCCTTGTAAAAAAGAAGGACCATTCCACCAAAGTTTGTTTGTTTGAATTTCGTCTGGATTAGTTCCACGTGAAAGGATGTCTGCAGGGTTTAGTTCAGAACGCACGTGATGCCATTGCTTCTTGGCCGTTAATTTCTGGATCTCAGCTACTCGATTGGCGACAAAGATGGACCATCTGCTGGGATCTCCTGCTATCCATGAAATTGCTATAGTGGAATCACACCAGAAATGTGCGCTATTAAAATCTACTGTTAAAGATTCTGTTACCCGTTGATATAGCCGAGATAACAACAGCGCACCGCAAAGCTCGAGCCTGGGGAGTGATATAACCTTTAGAGGAGCTATGCGAGATTTAGCACATAATAGCCTGACATGATTGTCCTGAGTAGAATTTGTGCTTCTTATGTATATACAGGCACCATAGGCGCGTTCGGAGGCATCACAAAAGCCGTGCAATTCTACGTGTTTTGAATCGTCGTACAATACACGCCTAGGTATTTTTAGATAATTTAGATGTGAAAGCTTGCCATACCATTTTGCCCATTGAGTATGGAGCTGAGCGGGCAATGATTCGTCCCAATCTAATTTCACTTGCCATAGTTGTTGCATGATCACTTTCGGTGTAAGAATCACTGGCCCTAGAAGTCCCAGCGGGTCGAATATTTGAGCAATACAGGATAGCATTTGTCTCTTTGTTGACCCTTTTAATGGCTTAGTTGCTCTGGTCGTATAGCTTAGCATGTCTTGCTGAGTGTCTCATAATTGCCCAAGAATCTTCGTGTCTTCTCCTAATCGTACTGTTGAATCGACCTGATAAAGGCTTAATAAGGGATGATTTGATTTCCACTTGTGAAGTTCGAATTTGGCTGATTGAAGAATAGTTGTAATGTCTTTTTTCCGTTGCAAAAGATCATTGATGTTGTTACCGCCGGTCAAGAGGTCGTCGACATAAAAATCGCGCATGATTATTTGAGCGGCTTCTGGATATTGCTGCTGTAAGTCCCTTGCTGCCTGATGGAGCGAACGAATAGCTAAGAAGGCTGACCAAGCTTCTCCGTAAGTGACGGTTTGCAACTCGTAGGTCTGTATTTCTTCTTCTGGAGTGAATCTCCATAGTATGCGCTGCAACTTACATTGCTCTTGACTTATTCTTACTTGGCGGTACATTTTTGATATATCAGCGGAGACGGCGTAAGTATGCTGGCGAAAACGCATTATGATGTTGAATAGATCTTGTTGAATGGTAGGCCCTACCATTTGAACGTCATTTAAGGACAGCCCAGAACTTGTTTTTGCTGACGCATCGAAAACGACTCGCAGGCGTGTTGTATCACTGTCGGGCTTGAGAACAGCATGGTGAGGTAAGTAATATGAAATGCTATAATCTTTCGTTTGCAGGTGATCATTCACTGGGTTCGAAACGTGCTTCATGTGTCCGAGGTCCACATATTCCTGCATGAAAGTCGTGTATTGCTCCTTGAGTTTAGGTTGCTTGGACATCCTTCTCTCTACGCTGAAGAATCTGCGTCTAGCCGTTTCGTAAGACTCACCTAGCTGAGCGTAATTATCCTTTAGAGGGATCATCACGACAAACCTTCCATCATTCTGACGTGAGTGTGTTTTTTGGAAATGTTCTTTACACTTCTGTTCATTCGCGGACAGGTGTGATGTCGTTTGTAGCTCTTCAAGCTGCCAGAATTTCTCCAGCTGATTGTGCAACATTGATTGCTGGGCAAGATGGCATTGTACGACCTGTTCAGGCTTAAGATTTGCATTTGCGGTTCCAGATACTACCCATCCTAGCCTGGTCTTCTGGAAAATGGGTTTTTCCTTGCCTATTGAAATTTGCCCAATGCACAATAGCTTCCAGAAAATTTCTGAGCCCAAAATCATGTCTATCTTGCCTGGCAGGTGGAACGTAGGATCTGCTAGCTTGATGTAGGATGGAATTTGGAAAGAGCTTACGTCCACGGTTATGGCTGGAATTTTGTTGGTGACCTTGCTTACGATGATGAATGACAATGTTTCTTGATAGTTGTTAAATCTGGAATGAATCGTAGCGGTTGTTTCCCTTTCAGACGTGGATGCGACGTTATTGACTCCATCTATGATAATATCTGTATTTCGTTGGGGCAATTTCAAGCGTTCGCATAGTTCCAGCGAGATGAAATTGGGCTGTGAGCCCGAATCTAATAAGACTCTGCAGTTGTGCAACTTGTTGGAATAATCTCGAATGTGAATTATTGCTGTCGACAACAAGACGTGCGAGAATGAACCCTGTGTGTGACAAGAAGATAGAGAATTTACGGATTGTGTATCGCTGGCATTAGACGCGCTTGTGCTGTTAGATTCTATTGCGGAGCTTGAGGCGTATTGTTTTGTTACATTTCTGTTTGCCTCAGCCCCTTGGGAAGAGTCATTCGAATCGGCAGCCTTGTTTACATGCAGTAAAGTATTATGATGCTTATGGCATTTTCTACAAGATCCTAGAGTGCATTTTTTACCGTGAAATGGTTTTAAGCAATTATAGCATAATTTGTTGCTCTTGACCTTCTCAAGGCGAGCTTGAATTGTCATGTTTCGGAATATAAGACATTCAAATATTCTGTGAGTGTTTTGACAAACTGGACATGTTGAACCTTCTACGCTAACGTGAGCTTGTAATTGATTGGGTTGTTTAACCGTGTGCTGTTTCAAATGACTCTGTACAGTTTTGGATAGATTAAGTGTGCTAGCGCGCGCTAAGGCCTCTAAGAAGGAGCATCTTGTTTCCAAAAAATTGATAAAGTTCTCCATGCTTGGAAGTTCTTCTTTATCTGCTCTTTCGGACTCCCATTCCCTTCTAGTGTGGCTATCTAATTTTGGAATGAATAATTGAATGAGTAGCGTATCCCAACTGTCTGTGGGTTGTTCTAGCCGTTTTAATGTGCGCAAGTGTTGCAATATTGTATCGACTATTTGTCTGAGAGAAGAATGTGATTCCTTTGAAATGCATGGAAAGTTTATTAATGCCTGAACGTGATTTTGAATGATTGTTTTATTGCCCTTGTATCGTTTGTTTACGATTTCCCAGGCGATTTGATAATTTTCATTTATCACCTCCAACGATTCAATGAGTTTGTATGCATCGCCTACTAATGACCATCTCAGATAATGCAATTTATCTATGGCGGGTAGTGCTTCATTGTCGTGAATCATGGAGGTGAAAGTATCACGAAATGGCAGCCATTCTTCCCATCTACCGTCAAATTTGGGAATTTCGATAGTAGGAAGACGCATTTTGTTTTGCTGAATTATATTTATAGGTTGATTTAATGTGTGAACTCGTCGTTCCTGTGGCATAGCGTTTGTTTGTAATGTTGAAATCATGTTTCTGGCTGTAGTGACTGAACGGTGAAATTTGTTTTCAAAGGTATCACGTTCTCCACTCTCAAGTTCAATTTCATTGAGATCTTCCAGCTCGGTTTGTACCGCGTCAAAATCCTTCCATATTGACTCAATTTTTTCCAAGCGCGATGCCGTTTCTTGTCTTTTTTGCTCATCATCAATACAATCGTTTAGAAAATTAATGAATCAAGTCAACTTAGCTTTAATATGACTTCTTTTCTTAATTAGTATTTGTTCCGCCATTTTGAGGTTAAGAAAACGTAACCGAAAATTATTCTACGAAGGCCGTGAAATCTCGTGTCTACGATTCAATATGGAAAAATATGACGGATGCTTTCTCTGTGTAAAGAAAAGAATTAAAACGACCTAACTTATTGTTAGTGTGTATATCTTTGCTTGTACTTAGCTCGTTGTGTGTTTAGTTTGTGTGTTCCGGATCCATAGGTTATTGTTGCCGATCCGGCTCGAAGGACCATTTGTTAATACCTTGTGAGCGGTATTATATATTTCCTAGTTAATAGGCTTAATAATCACTGTTTTTTCCTTGTAAGTTTTATTGCGATGTGTTCATAGTACAGGATAAAAAATAATAACGTAACTGTATTATATCTTAACGCCACGTGTGTCAACCAGGCGTTTTTTCTTCGACCTTGCGTGTGGTGTATCCCCTCCACACACACCAATCTCTTTTGTGGCGACACCATTCGGGCCAAAAATGCATAAACAAACAGCGCGCGCAGTACAAATAAAAATAATACACATGCCTTGAATATAATTGAATACGCGCATAACTATGTGAAATAAAGTAAGGTAAATTATCGATATTGCATCAAACAAATACACTTATTAAAATTAGAATGCATAATAACACTAAACACTCATTGTATGTAGGCGTCCTAACGAAAAATATAATAAAAATGCTACAGACTATGAGGTATGTGCAAAACGTAACTTTAAAAAAAAAAAAAACTATACTACATCATTCTCGAAAGTGCCTTAAAAAAGATTTTAGTAAAAATAAGTGCATATATATATATATATAATGATTATGAAAAGAAGTGACTTGCAGAGTACATTCTTTGACAAATCAAATATTAGCGAAAATAATATTTCCCGTAACAAAGACGATAACATGACAAAATAGCACGATTGATGAACTGATTGTATTATATGGAAATAAACTAACTATTAAATACTCAGCACAACACCAAATAATAAATGCAAAATTGCGTCTTCTTGGACGATTCTTTATAGCACGTTAAAAAAAATGTTTTTATGTACAATGTAATAAGTAGTCGCACACATGCTTCAATAATGTTGATAAAAATGTAGAAAATTTCAAATCTTTCTATCATCCAAGTGTGTATGACGATTGTGTTTCTACAATAAATGTAGTTACACAATATGACAAAGAGAAATGGATGTATAAAACTCCAGCAGTAGCGTCTACATTAATTTATTTACATTATTGAAGCATGTGGAAAACTTATTGCAGTGTCCATAAAAACCTTTTTATTGCCGTGAATCAAAGAAAAAAAATCAGTGAAAGATTTTTTACAATTGTTAATCATAGACATCCAAACAAGTGTTAACAAAACTGTTACTGAAACACAATCAGCTCAGGAGAGACAAAATAGGATAATCCTGCCATCAATGCAAGATATTAAAAAATTATACAATCATTTGGCAAACTTGAGAAAAAAGTTTTACATGGCACTAGAAAAGTCGTTTTCTTACGAAAACTGGATTTCTTTAGCAAAGGCAACGTTAACTTCAATCCATGTGTTCAATAGACGACAGGCTGGTGAAATAGAGCGCATACTTATCGAAGATTTCAAAAATCATGAAAAAATAAATAAAAATATGTATGGCGATATATATGCATCTTTATCAAAGGAAAATCGAAAAATAGCAAACAATTATTGTCGATTCTGCATAAGAGGAAAATTAGAACGTACGGTGCTTGTGTTATTGATTAATAAACTGCTCAGGATATGAGCATAAATGCGAAATAACAGTTTAAGACTTAAGTCTTAAATGTAAACTAATGCACAAGCTTTGGCGAATGCTTTATAATTTATTATTACGTTTAATTTTTCGCATTTGTATTCATAAATGTGCTCTAAATTGTACGCAGTAAGTTGCCACGTGTTTCCGTAATATTGTACCATATAAAACTGATAATTCACTTGCATTGCATTTTGTTGTGAATCTTATACATTAAGATACAGGCTCTAAGATCTTTTTTATTGCCGTGTAATCCAAAAATATACAGGTTTCCTCATGGTACTTTAGCTTTTTCGCGAAACTGCAAAATCAGATTGATGCATTTAAGGATATGGGCACAAATATGAAGTAACAGTTTAAGACAGACTTAAGTCTTAGACGTAACGCACAAACTTTGGCCTTAAAATTCATTAATTTACATTTAATTCTAAAGAAAAAGAAAAGGAAACAGTCCTTGAAGAATTTACTGTACACGTGGAGAACTTAACGCTACCATATTTGGAAGAAATTCAAGAAATGAAAAGGAAGTACAAATGTCTATCTCATCGGACATCGCCGCAAATAAAGAAACATGGATATATAATCAACAAAAAAAAACATGATATTATGGTAACGGCTACTTTTATTACAAGATAATAAATATTAATTTTTACTTATTAAATTTTAATAAGTATCATTTTTTTATAAATGTTTAGATCTCTTGTTTCTTGTCATTTAAACATGTCTACAACTGGATAATTTTCATATATTTTTTTTAGATGTCCTGAATGTCGCAACGAAAAGAGATGAAAATGTTAGAATTCATTGTTATATACGCCAAAGCTTGAGCATTATTTTACATCTAAGACTTGAAGCCTGTCTTAAACTGTTACGAAGACAGAAAAAAATTATCTTTTACGTGTAATATATGTGCATATACTTTTTAACAGTATTAGGTATACAAAGAGGATACGTACTGTAAGATTATTTATGAAGCACAAGAGAGTTATACAGTTAATTGAAATTAATTTTCTCTCTCTCAATAAGCTATAAATTTAGAAAAATTTTTAAAACATTAATTCTAGATAATCTAATTCTTAATATAAATATACTTAATATTGAAAATGCGAAAAAATAGAAGCTTTTTTTAAAATATTCTGAATTTTTCTAAAAGCCAAACAAAAAAATCGATAATTCTAAGATATATCCGGTCTATAAAATGCTTCCATCATAGCTTTCATTAAATCTTATAAATTTAATAATTATATTTTTAAAAATGTAACATTTGTGCTCATACCTTTAATTTCAATGATGTCAATGTTTCGGATTTGGGCTACATTCATGGGACATGCAGAAAAAATACATTGATATTATAGACAACTCCTAGCAAGCAAGGATATTCTTAAAATCTCACAATAATTAAAAGCAGTCCAAGGAAACACAAAAGATTTAAATGAATTTTTATCCCGACGTTTTTGAACTACCTGCTATTAACAAATATAAGTACAGATATCTTGCAGCCTGTATTGTAATGCAGATTCGCAAAAAAATCAAGTAAATCTTCAGTTTAATAAGATATATAATTTTACGAAAACATGTGCTAACATAAATATATATGTATTGCTATACATGTTTCTATTTATAAAAAAAATATCTATACCGATGATAGAAACGATACGATGATGATATTTGTTATTGTCATATTCCTGTGCAAGTTACTTTCTTCCCATAAGGTATATCCGCTGTTACTTTAAAGTGTTGATACTGTTGATTATCTTCGATGCTACTTCAATGCTGCTTCAGTTTAATTTCTGCAGGAGAAGTAAACGGCACATAAATCTGAAATAAATAAAATAATGAATAATTAATCAGTAATCTAGTTAATATGAGATATGACATTAGGCACAACTATTCAATTGAATCATAAGTAATGAAAATAAATTTAAATAAAAAAAGATACTTGTGACTTAATATACAAAAATGAGATATCAGATTTGCAAAAATGATATATTATAATCAAAGATCCAGAGTAGATTTTATATCATTTAAAGAATTTTGATTGAGATTACAATACTTGACAAACAATATTCAAGGGTGTATAAAGAAATTGTACAAAGCTATCATAATTAAATTTAAAAAAAATTAAAATCTGATAAAAATTAGTTTAAAATTGTAGCATTGAAGACAACCAACAATATTAATACTTTAATCATGGATCTTTTTCTATTATAATGCATATAAAATCTTGAATTGTATTTTTTAAATATATGCTTTATACAAGGCAGTGACGAAAAAAATATAATTAAGGGCTTGTTCGTTTTAGCTGCACTGGGGCAGCTCTGGGTCTGCTCTAAACAAGATAATACAGGACAAACTATTTATCTGTCCTGTATTATCCTGTGTAGAGCAGAACCAGAGCAGCCCCAGTGTAGCTAAAACGAACAAGCCCTATGAGTAACTGTATATATATATATAAATCTATGTTTTAATATAATTGAAAATGTTTTATTTGTACTTATCATGTACTTTAACTGTATAAGAAATGAGAATGTCAGAAATAAAGATAATTACTTCTGAAATTCTCACAAAGATATTCTTATGTTTTATTCTTATCTATTGCTATTGTAAGCAGTTATACATTACATTAAAAAAAGAGAAATGCTTTTAATCACAACGTAATATTCTGTAAAAATATATAAATAAAAATAAAAAATATATAAAAAAATGTATCTGATTTTTCACTAAAGATCAAAGGAATGATATTACGAGTAAAAAACTGAATGCATAAAAATTGAGCACTCAAAAGAAAGATAATGCTTCAAATTGCTGTTTTCAGTTTAAATACGATACTCGCATTAAGACAAATTATTTGTAAAATTATTTAAAAAACAATGAAATTTATAGAAAAGATTATATGTAAAATATAATACACACATTTTATCAGTAAACTACAACATGTAAAATTGCAGATACTTGCGTCATTACAGTTTTACTAA